GGGGTCATCATTTTAGACCGATTTTTTTCTAGGCCCAGACCCCACGTTAAAGTACTGAGGGATCTTGAAATCATGTCCAATCTAAGGCAACTAAGTTTCATTTCGCCAAGCAACGACGCTTCGTATAGTTTGCATATCATCGCTCCGAGCGGAACGAAAAAAAAACATCCAAGCTGTATGGTTGGATGCTGCTTGTTTTACGAGACAATGACCAAATTTAGACGGCAACTGGCTGCACACCATGTCAAGCCATCAACCCCCAGGAAATCAATGACCTTCGGCAAACTTAGCCCCGACAAATCGAGAATGTTTGTGCTCTCAAGCCAACATACCCATGTCGTGTTCTCAGGCCAACATTTGGTCCGAGTACTTGTATTACCAACATGGCTTCTCAGCGACACGTCTGCCTACGCATGAAAACCCCCACCCTGACTTGGCCTCTCCTTCCAGAAGGGTATGCGATGACCACACCAAGCGTAGATTGAACATGTGCAGCCATCAGTGTCACACGCAGTTTTTCGCCAGAGCGGGAGTTCGACGACTTGGAAGAGTCATAGTACGGACAACATTGGAGAATAGTTCGAACCCTCGAACTCGAACTCGAAACTCGAACTCCACCCCCCCCCGCCAAAAAAAAAAAAACTCCCGACCTAGAACTCGAACTCGAACTCCCCCCCCCCTCCCCTCGAACGATGACAGTTCGAACCCTCGAACTCGAACCCTCCCCTGAAGAATCTACAAACGAACTCGAACTCGAACTCCTCCCCCCCCCCCCAACGAAAAGAAATCTCCCGACCTCGAACTCGAACTCGAATCGAACTCGAACTCCTCCCCCCGACCTCGAACTCGAACTCGAACCCCCCCCCCTCCCCTGGAACAATAACAATTCGAACCCTCGAACTCGAAACTCCCCCCCCCCCCCCCCCCAACGAAAAGCAATTCCGCCTCGAACTCGAACTCGAACTCCCCTCCCCCCCCCCCCCCGAACGATGACAGTTCGAACCCTCGAACTCGAACGAACCGAACCGAACTCCACCCCCCCCACGCCAAAAAAAAAAATCTTCCCGACCTCGAACTCGAACTCGAACTCGAACTTCCCCCCCCCCCATCCCCTCCGAAGCAGACGTACGAAGCCAGTTCAAACTGGTATCGAACAGTTCGAACCCCCCCGGGTTAACTCGAACCCTCGAACTCGAACTCGAACTCGAACCCCCCCCCTCCCCTCGAGGCACACCTAGGATGGCAGTTCGAACTCGAATCGAACAGTTCGAACCCCCCCGGGGCACACTCTGCAACGAGTGCAACGAGTGCAACCGTGAAAGACCGCCGATAGAAGTCAAACTTCCGACAATATGGACAGATGGAAAAGCGGAGGTGGGAAGAGTCAGAGAAGAGAAGAGCAGGAGAGAGAAGATGAGAGAGAGAAAGAGTGAGAAGAAAGACGATGCAGGTGCGTGAAAAGGTAGCAGGTAGCAAAGGCGAAACCACTGTGTTTTTTCAATGATTTGTGGCTCCGGAGGATCGAAAAGTAGGCTCGCTAAAGCGGCGGGTGCGGAGCCAGCTGGCCAGATGAGAGATGAAGAATTGCACGCCGTTGTGGCGCGAAGCACATTTCGAAGTCAAAATGTACAAAGCACACCATTCTCGGACCACTTTTGGAAGTTGAGATGTCGAAAAAGTGCACGCCGTTGTGGCGCGAAGCACATTCCGCAGTCAAAAGTGCAAAAAACTGAGGTGTACGGAGCACTTTTAGACGTTCAGATGTCGTTGTGTGTGGCAGGGGCAAGGGATTGTGCACCTTGTCAAAAGTGAGCAAAAGGTGAGGGTTTTGTAGCAATTTCAGCTACAACCACCACTACACTACACCCCACTACACTGCGGCTACAACTACAACGGCAAGTACAACCACACGACATTACGCTACACTACACTGATTACATTGCGTTACGCTACACTGCACTGCGCTACACTACACTCCACTAAACTACACTACACTACACTACGCTACACTACACTACACTAACTACAACTACAACTACAACTACAACTGCACTACATTACACCACACTACACTACACTAATTACACTACACTAACTACAACTACACTAATTACATTACGCTACACTAATTACATTACACTACACTAATTTACATCACATTACATTACGTGACACTGCACTACAATACAATACACGACAACGACAACGACAACTACATTACACTACGCTACACCACACTACACTAATTACACCGCACTACACCACACCACACCACACTAGACTAGACCCGACTAGACTAGACTTGTCTACACTACAGCACGCAACACTACAGCACACTACACTACAATACATTACATTGCACTACACTCATTACACCACACCGCAGCTACAACTGCAACTGCGCCACACTAATTACACTACGCACTACACTACAGCTACAGCTACAGCTGCACTACAGCACGCTACATCCTTGTGGGTGAGGTGACCGCTGCAACCATTGCAACCATTCCAAAAAACACAGCTCCAACCACCTTTCGGTCCATCAGTGGATTCGCTCTGCCATCCATGCATCGCAGCAACTCACCTCTCCTATAGTGTCCTATCTTTGAAACTTCCGCCGCCTTGTGCAGTACTATTGGTAGAATTTTATGAACATTAAAAACCTTCATGACAAGCAGAGATTGAAGAAGTGACTCTCGGGCTTCAGAATGAGCGTGACTCCTCGCAATGATTGCGTCGACTGCATGGACTCCTTGGCCTTCTCGCCGACTCGAGCCAATTCAAGCCTTAAAATTGCACACTTCCCATCACCTTGTGTCGGAATCTGTCGGATGACTATGAAGATTCTGAAGTGTGATTGCAATGATTGAAAAATGCGTAAAGAAAATCTACATTAGTACACACTTTCTCGTTACATTCAGGTCATTTAGATCATTCAGAGTCCCTTCGTTGTTCATATGTAATATACATACATTTATACATACATTCATACGTACATAATCATACATATAGATAGATGGATGGATGGATGGAGGGATGGATATAGATATAGATATAGGTATAAATATTTCATGGCCATCCATGCCTATCATCTCCATCCATGGCCATTGTTGAGCACATGGGATGCCTCGGCGCAAGGCTCGTCATGACGTACTGGTGCGAATCGCACATGTGGGGTCTGACAACCGGGTGCTTGGCACCCTGAGTCTACAGAAGACTCAGAAGACGTGAAAGAGCAACTCGCTACATGGACGTCCACGAAGGATGAAAGGGAAACGCATGTCATGATGATGCTTACACCATCCCCAATTGAAACCTTTGTAATCCCTTGAAGATCTAAGTGTCTAAATTCGTGCCCACAGGGTCAACCGTTCCTGTGTGGCTTTGCAGTCATTTTGTGGGCTTCCTGGGTCCAGTTCTCAATTGATGCTGGATAACGTTGGATAACGTCGGATAACGTTGGTGGTTTCCCTTGCGTTGGATTTTCTATTTACACATGGGATGAACTCAAACCAGTGGATACATCTGCGACTTGAACTGCTTGGAGCATCCAGCTGATGTTGATGACCACAAGAGGACCCGCAAAATGTGCACATCCTCAGAGGGCACAAGACGGAGAGGATAGGCCTTGTGCAAAGTTTGTTTGGCACATCCCCTCCAATACACGGATGGGATGATCATTGATGTGGGTGAACAAAATTTTTGGGATCTCCAGTGTCTCCGAGGGTGTGCTTTGTTTCAGCCTTCGACCTTTTGCAAGTTTTATTTTGTGGACTTTGGGAACACCGTTCGACGAGTCGGGTGCCACTGCTGAAATGCGTGGGCATCCGATTTTCAAGCTCTGCGTCGAAAAGAGTCACAGTTACAGCTGTCACAGCTCCATGTACCAGGGGGCAGGCAATCATTTTCGTCCACTCAAACTGCAGTTTTGGTGTGTTTGAAGGCCTGACCGGTTACTGGCCTAGTGACCTTTGAACTTGTTTGTACATGGCTTGACTTTTGTCCTAGCGATTTGAACGTTTGATGTTTCAATGAGACGCCCAGAGTTTCCAGTCAGAACCTTGACACGCAGGAACAAGAGGCAGCGTGGGGATGCTGTGGGTTTTGGGTCGGCTGAGCATAATGAGCAAAATGATATGACAATCTGACGATATGACATGATATGATTGGAGACTCCTGAGGATTCGGAAGGTCTGTGTTGACCCCAATGCTATGAAGTCCCGAGTTAGAGGCCTCTGGAGGTCTAGTTCTGTTGCGCTGCTTCCAGAAGTGAACGCAGAGATAGATTGCCATTTTGGGGATCTAGCTCTTTGCGAAACCTCCCACTTCATTTGCATACGCGTTGCAGAATCTGTAATTTGACACTTTGAACTCTGAGACATGTGGTAAATGCGCTTAAAAAAGGTATGATGTAAGGCATTTCCATATGCATTGGTTGCACCGCGACCCTTACATCAGTTTAAATCGGCTTATATAGATGCTTAAACCTTCATTAATATATGCTTATATATATATATAGATGCTTATATGTTTTTTAAGCATATAGTTTTTTTTCCAGCGGAGAGCTGATCCAGGGCTTCAGCAGAGAGCTGCAGCGCTTGGAACGTTTCGCACGGGCGGCCTGTGCCAAAGACCGACGTTACCAGGAGGTGCTCTTCCCACCAAAAAAACACACAGATGGAGACTTTTTTTCATTTTTTTCATATTTTTTTTTTCTGTGTTTTTTTTCTCGTTGTTTTCGCCCGGGATTTAGGATCCAAGGAAGGAATGGGATCGTCGGGCTCATGGGATCCCATGACCAGGTGCTTCCTGTGATAGTACCTGCCGGTGGAGAGGACCTGGCTCCCAGTGAAGATCTTTCATCTTCCAATGCATTCAATGGATGTTTCATGATTTAAATATATTTTAATGATATTGTATGATATTGTTGCCAGGTGGCTTCATAATTTTTGGCCGCAGACGTTTGGCGCAATCAGAAATGGCTGCCATGGCGAGTTGCGATGCGCCTCAACCTGGCAGTGGATCAACATGCCAAGGCCGGAGATGCCTTTCACGTTGGTTGGATCCGATTTTTGATTCCATGTCTTGAAATTGGGAAATTGAACATACATAATGAATTATAGATACTTGGGGATGACCGGGAGGCCGCCCAGTGGCAGCAAGCGCTTCACCTTTGGAGTGCGAGTGCGGACCGCAACGAGGTGCATCGGTCTCCCATCTCGGATTCACCATCCGGCGAAAGTGGGAGCATTTTGTCTCAACATGTCATATCAAGATATATCAAGTCATATCAAGTCATACAAAATCTACAAACTTACAATGTCAGAACTCCAATTGTCGGAATCCGCACTGCAGGTCACCTACAACAGTCTCATTTCGGCCTGTCACAGAGGGAGCCAGTGGCAACGCGCCCTGATCGTTTTGAAAGAACTGGAGCCTTGCTCTGCCAAAGCCAGAAACCGGTGCAAATGACAAAGCCCTCACCAACAGTAACCGTGTTTGTTGATAGCTAAGAACCTGGGACATCTTGGGACACCCCATAATGAAATCAGAACCATATGGCAAGCATATGCAACCCAAGCGCATTGCATGTGCAGGCTACATATGTGGCTGAAACACTTGGGTCTGGCAATTGTAGCGCTAATTTGATTCCATCGAACTTATCGTTTGATCCAGAAGGGGAAGTCCCCTCACAAGGTTGCAGCTTTTTGGACCAAGGAAGAGAATTTGCAAGCAACGGTGCGGGAAACCCGGATTGTGATGGAGCTAAAGTATTCAAAGGTCATGTGAGATCCCGATCAAAATACTGGACAGGTTTGAAATGAGTCAGAGTGAAGGATGACTTGGAACTTTGCCACTTTGCCGGCTATTCTGCCCCAAATCCATTTCTTTGCATCCTATCCTTATCGAATCCTTTTCCAATCCTTAACCAATCGATCCATTGATCCAGCCATTTCTCCAGGTGATTTCCTACAGCTCGACGTTGAGCGCGTTCAGCGCAGCGACTTCCACGACTTCGACGTGGCGTTTGTGGCGTTTGGCGCTGGATCTCTTCCAGGCCATGGAATGCAAGCAGCTGCGCCGCGATGTCATCGTGGCTGGGCATCGATGAATCGATGGCAATGATGGCAATGATGGCAATGATGGGAAAAAAAGACGGAAAAGGTGGAAAACATGGGAAAACCCATCTATAGCAATGATAAAACCACATTGCCCAGTATAATTTGACACGAAAAAACATGAATAAACATTGGATACTTTGCAAATTTGGGACAGGATATGAAGTTCTTTGAATTTGGGATATCCAACCCATTGTGCCATGGTGGTTCCCGGTGGTTCGCGTCTTAGGTCTGCAACGCGGCCATCAGCGCTTGTGGAGAACGTTGGCGACGCACCTTGAGGTTGCTCCGAGGACTCCAAGGAGAGCAGTGACTAAACGATGGATGTGGACTAAACGACCTCTGTTTAACTTATGTTAAACTTATGTTTAACTTATGTAAAACTTATGTTCATCATGTGAACTCTTTCGAATGTTTTTTTCAGATGTGTTTTGGGGTTGTTCTTCCAAGTCACAGCCAGGTCGCAGCCAGGTCACAGTGACCAGTGAGATGTGGATTTGTTGTGTGGAAGTTTTTGTTTCTAAGTTTGCCAACGTCAAAAGGAAGCTGGACAAAGAGAGTGATGGGGTCATTTGTATCCCTTTAAAGGCCCTTTAAAGGCCCTTTGTCTATTGAATTGCCAAATCCTGCCCTACACGGCAGTGTGAACCAGGAACTCTGATCTCTTACAACTCGGCGATCAGCTCAACTGAAAAAGCGGGTGAATGGCAAGTGGCCATTCAGTTGATGGAAGAGCTGATGGAACATCAACTACTTCCGGATATTATCACATACAATGCAGTGGCTTAGCTTCATGAGTTGATTCCATTGGCTAACTGCTAAGCACTGCTTCAGTGCTTCATTCGCACAAGCTGCCAGGTAATTAGTGCGTGTGCCAAAGGTGGGCGATGGCAAGAGGCTATTTCCTTGTACTCTGCACTCGTGGGGCGCCGTTGCTTGCCATTTTTGGAGATTTGATCCTGGAATCCTTTCGGAATCCTGCAGATTGAAATGCTGTGACGCTGATAGTCTGATAGTCATGTGAAGTCCATAGAGTGTTGTCATCTGTCTTGCAACCTGTGCAAAAGGCTGAGACAGATTTCAAGTCGCGCTACTTGGAGGGTTTCTGTGTTTGGGAATGCGTGGACGTATCCAGACCCGGGAGACCCGGGATGGCATCAGATGGCACCTGAATGCACCTGAGGTTTGAATCCAAGCGTCGTTACTTGTGGCTCCTTGATCAGCGCCTGCGAAAAAGCTGGGCGATGGCAGGAGGCTTTGCATGTGCTCGAAGAACTTCCAACATTCCAGGTGCAAGTAGCTGTGTTTGCTGCATTTCATCAAGTGGGTCACGATGTAGACCCAATAATATTGATTGCACGGAACAAATTCTTGATGATTATGTGACAGATTGGTGCTTGATCCAAGCCGATCCACAATCCATTATGTGAGGTCAGAGCCAACATCATCACCTACAATTCTGCCATCAGCTCCTGTGAAAAGCGTGGGCGATGGCAGAAGGCCTTGTTAATTATGGCAGGGACTAGGGATCGTGGCGTATCTGCTGATGTCATCACCTTCAACTCCAGCATCAGTTTCTTGACGTTGAAAGTGTTGAACGTGTTGTAGATGATTGGAGTATGGAGTATGATCAGAATGATCCCAGATGACCCAGATGTTACCGGATCTTATTGACACACATTTTTGAAACCACAGTTGCTACATGTTGCTACTGTTATGGTCACAAGGTCACACTTGTTGCGAGTGAGGTGCCTGTGAGAAAGGCAGCCGTTGGCTGCAGGCTTCACAGCTGCTATCGATGCTGGCGCTTCGGGGGCGCGCCAACATTATCAGCTTCAATTCGACCATCAGCGCGCACGAGGCTTCCGGGAGCGCCCCGTTTGGCTCAACAGGTGGCATTCCGAAACACACATCAGATTGCCTATCCAGTGGACTTCACACATTTTTTCAGTGTATTTGTTTTATTAACAAGGTGGTTTGCAACTGGAATGAAGCATCCCTTCGACAATTTAGACCACTGTGAAGCCTCATCTCCAGTGACAGGAATGCAGCCGGTGGTCGCACGCTTTGCAAACACTTCAAGAGCTCGGACATTTTATCCCGGTTTCATCACGGATGACGTGCAACTCTGTCATCAGTGCATGTGACAAGGGCAGTCGTTGGTCTCAAGCATTTTGGTTTCTAGGCTGGCTGAATCATCCTTTGGCAAGCAGTCAAGGTTGCAAATGTTCAAAGGACATGGAAACAACAACGACGAACCAAATAGACAAAGAGAATCTGAAACATCATTTTCAAAGTCTGGATTGCAAAGGGTCTCCCACCATCGCAAAATCATACAAAATGATCACACGGCTAGATCTTCCATGATCTTCCCCGCAGATGATCTTCATCGTCAAAGCCATCGCCATGACGTGGTGCTGTTGACCTGTGGGCTGGGCGCCTGCGCTTCTTCTGCCCAGTGGCACCAGAGCTTGGCCCTGGCACTGGCGTCGACATCGACATCGGCATCGACAGACATTTTGCAGAGCCTGGCCGTCACGGCCTGTGTGCAGCTGCTTGGATTCCTTGGATGGATGTTGGGTTCATTACGCCAGATCTTCATTGTACTCTAAGTATCTCTAAGACTCTAAGTGACTCTAAGTATCAAATATCGGTGTTTTGACCGATTTTGACCGGATTCGGTGAGGTCATGCCAGGTTGAGGTACATCGTTTCTCGGATGTGAGGCAGCGACACTGGCGAGAGGCTTTAGGGCTACATGGTCCAGAGGCTGATGTGCTGACTGTGAACCTCACGTGCCTTGGTTGTGCTCTGGGCAGTAACTTTAAATGATTTAAATGTCTTCAGATGGCTGTGGATTATAGTGTTTCTGCCCACCTTTGAAAATTGTTGTGCGTTCAAGGATGTGAATTTTCCATAATTTTCCTTCTTTCTTCCGCGTTCCTTGAATTTTGCTGAAGTCAAGTGATTTGACTTATAGACGGTCTTGTAGACGTCCCATCCATTCCTACATTATTTCGATTCATTTTGGGCACCATAGGCGATGGTGATATCATTTGGAACTGACCGCTGAACATCGCTGAACATCGCTGAGCCAGGATGGATGCCGTTGAACGTTTTCGTTACTGGACGCAGTCTCTGCTGCTCTTAGAAGACCTCAGAGCAGCAGAGCGACCAGCCAGCAGACCCAATGCGGTGTCCTACAGCTGCTTGGAGCTAAAGAGTAAGTGCTGACCTTGACCAATAAGTTCCCCAACTGGGTGCATCAACTGGTTACAAGATGTTAGAGTTGTAACCATGGTTAGCATGTACGGACTGGGATACACATCCAAGTAGCTTGATTGGTGTGCTACAAACTTCTGAAATAGATGGTACCTGAGGAATCCTCAGGATAGAAACGGATAATGCTGATAATACAACAGATTCCATAGATGATAGATGATCATTCTGAATGGACAACGACAATAGAATTCTATAGTTGACACTGGATGATACCCCACATCTTTAGATCGATTGAGTTCCCCTGCGTCCCTCGAGGCTGCTGTCTCTCTGCCACATCTGAGTCCGGCCAAAGTCGCTGGGAGCCATTTCTATGTTCCAACTTGGACATTGCTGGTGTCCAAGCTGTGGCGTCCTTGAGAGCCAAAAAACCATGGTGCGTTACAGTGCGTTGGGCAGATTGGATGATCCATGAACACTTGGATGATGGATGATGGATGAGGAACATTGAGGAACGATATGGAACGTTGGATCATGGATCACGGGATTTCGGCAGATTCAGATTGAGCGACTTTGATGGTATCACTGCTGGTTCACCACGAGGACGTGGTAGCCTTCAGGGCTGCCTTTGGCCTAGGGTCGCAAGACCCTGCGCTTCCACTGCCTCGTCGGGAAGGTGTGGCAAACCCCCGGTGGCACAGCTGTCCACAGTTGCCCCATCCAGGTGATGCGCAGCTGGAAACCAAGGGGTAGATTCAGTGGATTCCGTGGAACGGAACATGCTGAAACCAAATATATATATATACACATAATGTGATACTATGACAAATAATGATTGGCATGTGAAACAAGCATGGAAAAATGTGATCATTATCATTCATTATCAAATTCTTTCCAGAATACCACGAAGTAGTTTGGATTATCAAAGATGAATGGCATGTGGAGTTGGATCGACTGAATGATCGCTTTGTGGCTGATTGATCGGCTTCGAGTTGGACCTTGCCGCGTGTAGCGTAGCAGTGAGGTCCGACTGCAGCGCCTTGGACGAGGGTGAGGCGGTGGGAAACGTGGGCAATGTTTCCAATGTTCCAAAGTGCTTCACATCACATGCTGTGTAGATCTGGGAAGGACGTAAGATTAGGATGGGCTATCCTCAATTTTCTGCAGTCTCAAAATCTCCGATTTCAGAAACAAAAACAAAGACATTGGAAGACATTTGAAGACTTGAGACACTGACAGAGTCACTGACACATTGTTTCGACGTGTTTCGACATGTTTCGACATGTTTCGCGTCGAACGGCACTAGGCTTCGTCTCGGCCACATCGGATCGAGCTCTTCGCCGCGTCGCTCTTCAACACCCGGACACGGCGGAAGTATCCTGCGCCCGGTGGGGCAGGCGCAAGTGCAGAACTGGGCAGAACTGGGCAGAACTGGGCAGAACTGGGCAGAACTGGGAACTGCGCAACGAAAGAAATCCAGAAAGAGTCTGCAGTCTGCAGTTATAGTTCTTATGACTTATGACCAGTTATGGTAGAGAATCTCTGCAATACTGACGAACTGAGTCACTAAATGTGATAGCAGAGCCAGGTTGGTGTCCTGGCGATGAGCTGGCATTATGCCTCTTCACCGATGCGGTGCTGGTTCCCTGGCCTAGCCTTGCAGTGATCAAATATGCTGTCTGCTGCAAAGAAATTGAACATGAACAACTTGCACTTTGTTTATTCATTCCTATTCATTCTCATCTCAATCATCTCAATGTCAGTTTGGTTTGAGCTGGAGGAAAGGTCAAAGTAATGGCTTTCAATCTCCATGCATCCACCATTGATTTGGAGGACGGGAAGGTTTCACCGCACGTCCGATCAGTGAAGAGGCAGGGTAACGGGTAGCAGCACGGCAAAAGGTTCCTGGTAGCGGGAAAGAAATGAAAGAAATGAAAGAAATGAAAGTGGCGTCGGCATAAGTGAATTCTTGCACTGCGGACATGTTGCATCCAGGACAAGACTGCACAAGACCAGAGACATCCAGAGACATCCAGAGACATCCAGAGACGTTGAGGCCCAGCACCGATTTGCAAGAGCATCCCGAGCATCCCGGGGTCCGGGAGCTCCAGCATTGCATTGGGAGCAAGGCTTTGCAGTATAGGTTTCGCATGGGTTTCGCATGGAGGCATTCGCATATATTCGCTTGAAATATTTGACCTGTTGATCAAACAGGTGGACGGTGGAACATGGTGGAACATGGTGGAACATGGTGGAACTGCTTGAAATTTAGCAGTCTTGAAACGAGTCGAAACGAGTCGAAACGAGTCGAAACGAGTCGAAACGAGTCGAAACGAGTCGAAACGAGTCGAAACGAGTCGAAACGAGTCGAAACGGATGAGTTGTGAGGTGAAAGAACTCTACGGGAGCTCGATGGAGTTGGAGCTGCTGCGACCGGTGCAAGAGAACCACACGGAGGTGCGAACGACACAAGTGAGGCATAAGCGACGAAGGCAGCATGCAGCTGGACGTCAGGTTCAAACAGAATCAAGCAGAATCAAACAGATTCGCTGTGTTTTGGCTCATGGTTGAATTGTGAGCGATCATGAATACGTTTTGAGTGTCTCGTTGAAGAAATTGTGGAGATTGCCTTGGGCATTTCATGCTGGACTCCTGCTGGACGCTTGAAATATGGACCTACGGCTTCCTACTTTGGATGACACTGCTGCAGGTCCTACTGCTTCTTTATGCCCCGTTCTGCAGCTACTCGCAGCTTGGCCAAATGCACCCAAGGGAGACACCCAGATGACATAGATAACATAGATATGTGAATGACTGTGAATGTGGATGTAGACTGATGTGTATATATCATTTTTCATGTCTCTTCATGATATACCATGGTTCATGATATACCTGGTGTACCCTGTGATGTTTCTGGCGGCCCAAAATTATGGCATGGCCCCCACGGCCACACGGTGGCCTGCGGTGAGGCAACACTTCTTTTGGATTTGGGGCCAACTGAGTTCTGCGATCCAAGCAGCCACAGGCTGGAGATGGAAACTGTTTAGACTTTCGGATTTGTTTCTTTCCAGTGCTGGTCACTGGAGCAGATGGAGCAGTTTTGGGAGCAGTTTTTGTGGACTTCCGCTTTCCTCTCCGAGAATAAGTCTTAAAACATCTTGGATCGTTTTAGTGCCGGCGAGAACTGAGACTTGCGTTAGATTGCGCTGGTAAAGTCGTGCTCGTGGAATCTGCTGGCTCTGGAGGTCCCAAAGATGGCAGGACACCCAAGGTGCAATGCTGAGGGATTCCGGATTTTCTCTCCATCTCCAGAGGAATTTTTATCCTTGTTGGGTGGAAAGTGGAGGGAAGATGCTGGATGCTCAATCCAGATCATCAAGCAGATCTTCAATGACAGCACACACTTGATGTGACGATGACCTCCCTCCTTTGGGGTTCGCACCGCGGAGGTTTTGCAACTTGCGCAGATGGATGCAATGCAAAACGAGTGCTTCCGACCTGTGCTTTCTTAAGCACTTGGGTTGGGTGATGACAGTCAGATATAATGAAACTACTGTCACACGTCACGCATTCCAGTGACGAGCAAAGCCCTCCGGGATGTAGTGGGGATCGGCGTTCCCCCAAACCGGAGGAATCTTGCCACCAATTTCGCAGTGTTCAAACCAGAGAAGCGAACTATCCAGCTACGTGGTTAATGAATGCTAATGGAAGAATATTACAGAGCTCTCCCAAATGTCCCAAACCAATCCAAACAATTTTCTCGCCCGTCGACTTCACGTTTTTCCTTCAAACCACTGTTCGTGCTAGCGGAGTAACTTGTGGAGTAACTTGTGGCCTTGTGTGGTGGTCGTTTCTTGAACCTGGGTCTGGCACCCGATGCCAGGCATCCACTTCTACCGCCAATCCGACAGCCTGGCAGACCCAGCGATGTGGCGCTGTGGTATTCCTGAAACTCCATTTGGAACTCCTTGATGCTCGAAGATGCTCGAAGATGCTTGCTTTTTTGATGCTTTTTTGATGCTCGATGTATCACCTGGAACTTTGGCCGGTCGTGAAGTCGAGCTTCGAATGCAAAGTTTTGGTGCCTGATGCCGGATGGTATGCAGCTGTTTCTCAGGTTCCCAACGTTGTTGCTGTGCCAAAGTGCCTGGTGTCTCAGGGTTTGGAGAGTATTGCCGTGCAACATCTTGTGGACATGTTGGATGAAGGAAGAAGAGACAAACAAACGGAGAGAAAGACATACATAATTAATCCTAATTATATATATACATACATATACATATACATGATGTATTAATATACATGGTACATATGCATATATCATACACCTAGAAATCATTAAACCTAGACTTTCCGGGTGCACATTGAAGTAACTAGTTGTTCGGGTTCATTTCGCTCAACTTTTAGTACGACCACCCAAAAGTTAGGTCCGGATGCTTATTGTCCCGGCAATTTCGAAACACAAAAACGCATTTTCATTCATTGAGCTGGTACAGGTTTGAACAGGTTTGAACGTTTCTGGATGGGCTTCAACAGGTTTCGAACGCATGTTCCTAGGCACCTTAAGAGATTTCTAGGGCAAAGTGCTAGTTATTCAGTTTTGCTCTAGGAATTCTCAGGTTTTAGGTTAAACAGGTATATAATGATACATATATATATATATATATCTATTTGACTGTCTATCTATCTATCTATCTATCCATCCATCGATCTATCTATCCATCCATCCATCCATCCATCCATCCATCCATCGATCCATCGATCTATCGATCTATCGATCTATCGATCGATCTATCTATCCATCTATTTATCTATCTATCTATCTCTCTCTCTCTCTGTGTATATATATATATACGCGAGACTATAAACTGTGATTTTCAGATGCCTTCTCTTTTCTTTACAGCTGTTGTTGGTTTGCGGAGAATGCGTGGCACCGTTCATTTTGAGGCTGCCAAAGATGCAGGCTCATCCTAACGAAACGTGGGTCTTTCTTTTGCAAGAAACCAGCATGTTTGGCTCATCACCCAGATCCAGCATGTTTGACATGTTTGACTCAGGGCTGTTTTGTAGTTTGATGTTTCTGATTGTTGGAGGTGGTGTGGGTTTTCTGACCTATGATGGCCCAGCTACGCTGGCAGTCAGGGAACCCAAGTCAAACCAAAGCATCCGAAGCATCCGAAGCCTGCAACTGAACTGAGAAGTTGCGGATTTGGTGCCACAGGAACTCAAATCAGCCAGCCTTATATCAGATGGACTAGAATCTGCGGAAACTGGAAGCTATTTTAATGATATATTTTGATCATTGTGATGGGTTCCAGGATCAAATTATCAAATTGGATGTCTTTTTCCACCGACGGACCGCAAGACCCGCTCAGGGCATCCTCTCCTGGATTGCGGGACGATCTGCCTGGGCCCAAGAAACACGGGCCTCAGCGGGCCGCTGTCAGGGTATGCGCCTCGCATTTGACCCTACCCCAATGGTTTCGCATATGACCCTACCCCCATTTTGGGGTAGGGTCGAATGTGAGAAAGTAGCGTTTTTAGCTGCGAAAAGAGGGTCCCGGAGATGATGATGATGATCATCATGATGATGATGATGATGATGATGGTGGTGATGATGATGACGATGGACGATCATGATGATGGTGATGATGATGATGATGGTGGTGGTGGTGATGATGATGATGATCATGAGGACGGTGCTGATGGTGATGATGATGATGATGGTGATGATGATGATGATGATGATCATGATGACGGTGATGATGGTGATGATGATGATGATGATGATGATGGTGACGATTTTGATGATGACGGATGATCGTGATGATGGTGATGGTGATGGTGATGGTGATGGTGGTGATGATGATGATTATGATGATGATGATGATGATGTCACACACAATTTTGTCACATACAACTTTGTCACACACAGCTCTTTCACACAATCTGTCTTCCACCATCTCCTTTACCTTTGCTGCCTTTCCCCTCCCATCTTCTTGGTTGTTTTTTGCTTTTGGAAGAAGTTGGCATGTGGGGTTATCCGGTCCCATAGGTGACGATGATGATGATGATGATGGTGATGATGATGATGATGATGATACCAATGAATGTAATTGTTCAAGGGGGGCTGGTTGATTTCATACCAATGAATGTAATTGTTCAAGGGGGGCTGGTTGATTTGATACCAATGAATGTCATTGTTCAAAGGGGGGCTGGTTGATTTGATAGCAATGAATGTAATTGTTGAATGTAATTGTTCAAAGGGGGGCTGGTTGATTTGATAGCAATGAATGTAATTGTTCAAGGGGGGCTGGTTGATTTGATAGCAATGAATGTAAAAGGCTGGTTGATTTGCAATGAATGTAATGGGGGGCTGGTTGATTTGAGCAATGAATGTAATTGTTGAATGTAATTGTTCAAAGGGGGGCTGGTTGATTTGATAGCAATGAATGTAATTGTTCAAGGGGGGCTGGTTGATTTCATACCAATGAATGTAATTGTTCAAGGGGGGCTGGTTGATTTGATACCAATGAATATAATTGTGCAAGGGGGGCTGGTTGATTTGATACCAATGAATGTAATTGTTCAAGGCGGGCTGGTTGATTTGATACCAATGAATGTAATTGTTGCATGTAATTGTTCAAAGGGGGGCTGGTTGATTTGATAGCAATGAACAATGAATGTAATTGTTCAAGGGGTGCTGGTTGATTTGATAGCAATGAATATAATTGTGCAAGGGGGGCTGGTTGATTTGATACCAATGAATGTAATTGTTCAAGGGGGGCTGGTTGATTTGATACCAATGAATGCAATTGTTCAAGGGGGCTGGTTGATTTGATAGCAATGAATGTCATTGTTCAAGGGGGGCTGGTTGATTTGATAGCAAGGGGGGCTGGTTGATTTGAATGATAATTGTTCAAGGGGGGCTGGTTATTTGATACCAATGAATGAATTGTTCAAGGGGGGCTGGTTGATTTGATACCAATGAATGTAATTGTTCAAGGGGGGCTGGTTGATTTGATAGCAATGAATGTAATTGTTCAAGGGGGGCTGGTTGATTTGATACCAATGAATGTAATTGTTCAAGGGGGGCTGGTTGATTTGATAGCAATGAATGTAATTGTTCAAGGGGGCTGGTTGATTTGATAGCAATGAATATAATTGTGCAAGGGGGGCTGGTTGATTTGATACCAATGAATGTCATTGTTCAAGGGGGGCTGGTTGATTTGATAGCAATCAATGTAATTGTTCAAGGGGGGTTGGTTGATTTGATACCAGTGAATGTGATTGTTCAAGGGGGGTTGGTTCACGGATGTCTGGTTTGAGGCAGGGTAAAGTGGGCTAGGGTCAAATGTGAACCGGGAAATGTTGTTTTCTTCCTGGAAGGGTTGCGTATTTTTGTTAGGGTAGGGTCGAATGTGAGGGTGCGTGCGGTTCTTTTGGAGTAGGGTCGAATGTGAGGCTGCGGTAGGGTCGAATGTGAGGTCCGTACCCGCTGTCAGCTGACGGCAGCTTTGGTCCACTTCCATTTCTCAATATTTCTCCCATTTCTTCCATTTCAGTGCCACAACTTTCCAAGAAATCTTTTGTTTCCCTTTCCGAGTGCAAAGTTGGCGCTGAATTACCGAGGTCTTTGCACCAGCTGGCCTTGATGCACTAAGTGCAGAATCCAAAGACTTCTGAGGTGGCCGTCTTGAGCGATTCTGCAAAGATTGGTCGATACGCTGTCAATTTGATTCATTTTGTCTTTGACACTCACGGCAGAACTAAGCTGTGGATCAGACATGTGCACGAGTTATTGGTATTGTACTGGTATGTTCAAGTTGCGTCAGGGTCTCCTGGCTGGAAGTGCCACAAATTCGGTCTGACCATGGAATAAGACATACAATTTACATTTGCTATGTTTATGTGCGAAAAGCGGCACGTTAGATATAGATTTGTGCAGCAATCACTTGGAGTAACCCGGCATCAAACCTGATCCTGCAACGTGGCACATTACGCTCGTGGCAATGTGTGGCAGATCTCCATCTCTGGGAAAAGGACACGGAGACACACTGTGTATCATACGGCATTGCCTAAAACTGTCGCAATATGTACATACCTAAGACATGCCAAGACCTTCTCCATTCTGGAGTACGCTTAGGACATGTAGATGCATTA